CTCCCCTTCTCTCCTTTCTGTACCCTTTTTCACCCACCCATCGTATTCGTTCGTTCTTTTGCTTGCTATCCTTGTCGCAGAAGGGAGAACGAGAAGAAGAAGAAGAAGAAGAAGAAGAAGAAGAAGAAGAAGAAGAAGAAGAGAAAGATGATGAAAATGATGAAGATGATGAAGAGGGCTCTCGAGTGTTAGAGGAACCAACGGATCCCCCCACCACCACCACCACCAGTACGGCGGCGCAACGCGTCGTCGTCGTCGTTGACTACCCTTCAGAAAAGGGGCAGACACCTAGGCAGACGCTAACTTTCCCTCCGACGTGCTGAGAGAGGACCGTTCCGCGCAAAAACCCTCCCTCCTGGTGTCCTCCCTCCTCTCACACACCTCCGCGCTCCACCTTTTCTCGGATCAACTCTCTGGATCGACGTCTTTTAACAGCCCCCCCTCCACTCCAAACCAACCAACCCCTCTCTCTTTCTCTCTCTCTTGAAATATTTGCTTCTCATTCTTTCTTTCTCGTTTCTCGAAAGAAGAAGAAGAAGAAGAAGGAGAAGGAAGATTGTTAAGGGAAGAGGGTAGAAAGTGAAATAGGCGGGAAAGGAGGGGAGGGAGGAAGGAAGGAAGGAAGGAAGTTGGGCTCGGTCGATTACGTGACAGGACGAGTGGGAGGAGCGAATCTTCCCCTACCCCAGCATCCCTCGGAGAGGAGTCGATCGACGTAATTGAGGCCTTATCTTTCGTTAGTCTCTACCTTAACGCCTACTCATCCCCCCCGCCCCCCACACTTTATTCTTCTTACCATCATCCCCCTTTTATACTTCGATTTTTCTTGTTTTTTTTTTTTTTTTTTCAATCAAAATTTTAGCCCGACAATATGTGCAAATAATTAAACATTTTGAATTTGTCAAAGGATTATTTGAATTCCATCGTGGGCCCATTGTTAAATGAGAAATGACGAAGATGAAAGTTACTTTGAATGTGTTAGAGAAAGCGTTTGGTTTTTTTGTTTTGTTTTTCAAGTTAAAAAAAGATTCAAAGTAAAAGTAAACCTTTTTTTTTTTTTTTTGTACGAATGAGAAATTCACGCGAATCAGTAAGAACAGCGGCACGAGAGTTGTTTGTAGAAAAGAGAATCCGGTTTTTCGTTCTGAACGTTCGTTCGATCGCGATAAGATGAGAAGGAGGAGGAAGAGGAGGAGGAGGAGGAGGAGGAGAAAGAAAAGAATACGGTACCTTAACCCGTATCGCACGATGATGATTCGTTTAACGTTTTGCGAAACGATTCAGGATTGCACAAAAAGATGGTTCGATCGGTGAGACCGTGGTAATCGATGGGGGATCGGTCAGTTCACGTTCATCGTTTGTTTGGTGAGAAACGCGGAAGAAATCAACGTAAATGGTGAATAAATAAAAAAAAAAAAAAAGAAAAGTTAAACCGTAAGAAGGACCGAATTGAAGGGACTCTTGGTAGTATACACGTTAAGTGTGAACAATCGTTGATAATCGCAAAACCACCCTGTTGGACTCGTTTAATTGAGACGTCGATGGTCGTTTAACAAGAAATTTGTCAGAACTGAAAAAAAAAAACCAAGAAATCTTTTTCTACGCTTCGTTCATTTTTAGTTTAGGCCTTTGCTTGTTGTTGTCGAATAATAGATAGAGTAGAAAAATATTTCGAAGAGCAACAGAGACAGAGAGATTAATTGGAAATAATAATAGTAGGCTCGTGTAGTATGAAAAGCAGGAACAGAAAGCTCGATGGGAACTTAATATCGTTGAAAGCGGCCGAATTCTCGTATCCTGGGGGAGGAAGGGGGGAAGGGGGTAGGGGGAGGGTGGTTTACTGCTTGGAATGTTTTAATAACGTGCATTCCCCGTCTCGATCGATCCCAGCGTCCGACGAAAAGGGCGAATACTTCGTTGTACGAGTTAGTAAAATCCCATTGGCTCGTCAGACCTATTACATAAATTTCTCTTGATAAAAAAAAAAAAAAAAAATCAAATATTTAATATAATAAAAGAATTAATATAACGCGTGTGTGCGTGTGCGTGTTGTGCAAGGATTCACAACAGCCGCCATTTTATTATTTTAGCTAGCGTGAGTTTGGTGGTGATGGTGGTGGTGGTGGTAGTGTCGTTYAGGTGATGATGGCGTGTATATATCCGAGTAAGTTTACACATTTTAAGGACCACTTGTTCATCTTGACAGAGTGATCGTGATTTTGACGCTAAGGACAAGAGGAACCATTTTTCGGGATAGAAAAAAAAAAAAAAAGAAATAAAAAAGGTCGAGAGGGATCTTCTATTGTGATGATTGTGTAGCAAGGATAATACTCGTCTTCCTTTCTCTCTCTCTCTCTCTCTCTCTCCCTTGAAAAGAAGGAAAAGAAGAAGCAACGACTCGAACGAAAGAGGATCGTTTAAGCCCGGAACTGATCCGGTCCTCTTTCCTTCACTTTCTTTCAATACACTCCTATCGTTTACGTTATTTCCTTCTCGATGTTTTTCAAGAGAGAGAGAGGGAGAGAGAGATATCCGTTACAAAATAGAAACGGTCGATCGCACGATCGAGAGGAAGATACACGTTTAGCTCTGGATGATCGGCATCGTTTTCGCTAAAAGCCACTTGTTGATGTTCGTCCGAGCATGATCGATTTATTCGCTAAAAATAGTCCTCTCCGGTATAATCTGCTTTTGGGGATCATAGATGTTACGCCTGTTTAACGCGGAACCATCGTCAACTTTAGTTCAACATATTCGTTAACCGACGGGCCTCTCTTCTGCTTTTTCAACATTCCGTTTGTCAGCTTACTTTTCCTCCTTTCTTTGCACCAATCAAATAGACAAAAAATACACACACACACACACACACACATATATGTTTCTCACATAGAATATATAAGAAGGAAGAAAGATATTTTTCGTCTTTTTATTCCGCTTGCGCGCTCAAATCCTAGAAGATTGTCCGCTCAACAAAGAAATGTTTCTTTAGCTTTAGATCCTCTTATAGAAAAGAATGCTGCTGATTGGTAAGTGGAAAAAGTATCGATACACATGAAAAAGGAAAATACATAATTGTATAAATGTATATATCTTTTTCTTTAAGAAGATAATTTTCTAATAAGATCCTGTAAGCATATTAACCTGT